ACACACTGTCACACACACACACACACACACTCTGTGTCACACACACCACACACACACACACACACACACACACACACACACACATATATATATATATATATATATATATGTAATACATTAAATTATATATTTAATATAATTATATATATATATTTAATGTATTACATAAATTAAGCATAATACTGTTTCAATAGTCAATTCAAGTCATCTACTCAAAAAATAGCAATGAAACTACACACAATAAAATAAAGAAAATCCCAAAAAGCAAGCAATTAAGTAAGTACGTAAATACATAGTTTTATTTATTTTATTTTTTTATGTGGATTTGTCAGAAAACTGGGGTGCATATAGTGTGTGAGACAGAGCTATTTACACTTGATGTAATTAAAAATCAAAACAAATTAAAATTACAATAGAATTAAATAATTTTCATGTGTCTATGGTTTAGTGCATACACTATAAGGAGACATATGCTAAGCTGTGGAGCTCACACAAAGGGCACAAGTTCATTTCCTCTCCCCTGTGTACTCTCTTGTCAAGTTCAATAATATATATATATATCTTTCATTTTCATATTGGACTTCACTCTACTTCCTTTGGTATTTTCATACAGATGTGGCACTGATGTGTAGAATGTCAAAGCCCCAATAATCTATGTAAACAAGCTGAAGACATAGAGAAAAAGAGAGAGAGAGATCAGAGCTGTGTGGATGCTGGTGAGTGCCAATATCTGCTCCTCTACAACATACATAAGGGTGATTATCTGAGCCAAGACAGAAGTTCAACTACAAAGACATGCACAGACACAATACACAAGCTTTTGCGTGCCAAACACAGCTTTTCCTGGCAAGTATAAACACACATGCACAACCAGGGCACAAAGTACGCCTTTGTATGTTAATAAGATCCAAAGGCACAAGAACACACACTGCTTAAGAATACACACCATTTATAGCCATAAAACAGTTGTGTAGTGTTTGAAAGAGCTTCGTGAACACAAATACGACATCACACATCCAAGCTCTTGACTCCATCCACTGTGAACTGTATCTTGTTGTGGTTTTCTTCTGTTTTGCCGTTCTATCTTTCTCTTACAGAGCAGAGTGACAGCTTACAGACATGAAAGGGCCTGTCCCCATGCTATATCTTCCCACTTTCTTGCTCCCCCTCTTTCTGCTGGGTCTGGTTTCTAGAACCTTCTTTGAGTTTTGTGTTATCTGCTCTCTGAAACATACTGCTGTCTGGGGATTTGGCCCAGAGCCAAGGTCTGGGGATTTGGCCCAGGGATATATGTATATTTGTGTATGTACTGGGCAGCGAGGTGTATTTTTAGTGAGGCAAAAACTAAAATTATATACCATACTTATGAATAGTAGTGTACACATTTTGTACATGTACCAAGTTAATACCCAGATATTCTCTGAAATTGCCTGGAGTATTCATGCAAATATCATGGTTACAACATGGTAATCATTCAACACTAGGGATGGGAAATATAGTCGAGTAGTCACTGAAAAAAAAAACATCTAATTGATTAGTAAGGTAGAATGGCTCATCTAGAGTTATCTAGTAACTGTCAGCACACAAAAATGTGCTCTGTAACTTCAAAGCAGCAGTTTTCTAACAAATTCCAATTCCAAAAAAAGAACAAATGTTTCTTTGAAAAAGAGTGGCCTGTGTAAAGAGCGCATAATAATTGTGCCTGATCAGGACTGGTGGAACCTAGTCTCCTCCTCAGATGTAATGCCCAGGCACCCACGTTGGCTGAATGTCTGACACACACAAAAGGGGAAACACTTTTGGAAGTAGTCATCTGATTGGATGAATTTACAGGATTTCCAGGAGATGTGTGTGTCATGTTCTTTAACGATCCACCTGGAAAAACAAAGAAAGCCATTGCGTACACAACTGTGACAATGAGCGGATATTGGGATCAACTAAACTCAGATTTTCAAAAGTATGTGAAGTTCATTGCATAGACTCTTGAAAACTGAAGACGATGTTCTTGAATGAATGATGTATTGGCTGCACGTTGGTCTGTTATTGTAGCGACGTCAACTTTACAATTTCACACCCCTAAATATGACACTGAACAAAACAAACTATGATCGGTTGCTTTACATGTGAGTCAGACGGTCTCTTGGACAGTCATTGGCCAATAAAAGCTGCCATCAGTCTGAAGATCTGGCTACACAAGACTAGGTGGACCCTAATTATACAGGCTCCTTTAAGCGCTTAGATTTTGTAAACAAGTAATTTAGCACATTCCTACTAAGTACTTTGGTATTACCATCTGATATCATCTCTGCATCACAGCACTGCACTTTTATCAAAAGTATTGTAACG